TACTGACCGGAGCCTAAGTAAATGTGGCCTTGAGGGTTTGCGGTCGTACTGACCGGAGCGTAAGTAAATGTGGCCTTGAGGGTTTGCGGTCGTACTGACCAGATCAGTCACTCTTGAGGCAGGACCGTCATTTGCGGTCATTTGCCAATCACATTGATGTTTTCCATCCTTGCCAGCACTGCTATCTTTGACCCCAGCTTTCGTCACATCTCTGTTTCCATGAGCACCCAGACTCGTGAATAAACTTCTGCGTTTTGTAATCTGAGGCCGTGTCCCTGGTGCAGGAATCCGCAGGGGCTTTAAGGGGTGATGTTACATGTGACCTTTCTCTTTTTTTAACTTGCCGGTACATCCTGCCATGCTGCTTGCCTTTGGAAATGCCCCCGCGTAGCTTTCCCAGGTGAGTGTCCTTTCGGGAATTCCTCTCTGTCTGTCATGCTGTGCCCTTGTTTCAATAATACCTTCAAACATTAAAAAATGAAAGCATTTCTGACCAGGTATGCCCTTGAAGTGCACTAACCACACCTCCATTCATCCATCTTCAAACTACTCATGCTGGTCATTGTTGTGATGATTGGCCATAAATTGAAAATAATATGGGTGTTTTCAAGTGGTGATTTATGAATTTGTGCTACAATCAGGTAAAATCTATTTAGCTTATGAAGAAGAAATACGCAGTGAATATTACAGTGAAGGTCACTGATTGGTTCTCAGCTTGCTGTGGCATCTTGACAGTCAGCTGAAGGCTAGCAAGGGTGTGCAGGATCTAGAGCGGAAGATGATTAATGAGAAACTAATTAATGCAATAGCTATGAGAGATACTGCTCTCAGACTGGCGTAGACAACTTGTTTTCTTGTTTGGCAAGTGTCGGAGAAGTTCTCTCACATTTTCCCCAAACGAGCTTGATGGGCCGAATGGCTTCCTCTCGTTTGTAAATTTCTTATGTTCTTACTATTAATATATGATCCATATAATCCATAACATCGATCATTTAAAGATTAGCGCTCCTGGGGGGCGAAGCACCATTGCAGGGCTTGGGGGTTTATTGCACTGGGTCTTCTTATAATGAATGTTTTTTTTCCTCTATAAAATTAAATGTTTGCCCTGTGAGTTCCCAGGTCCTCCAGGTTCTCTGTTTATCAGCTGTTGGGGCCAGGAAAGGTCTGGTCACTACAGTTGACCCTTATGCATTGTGAATTTCCCTGTTCCAGTCTCAATATACCGCTGGGTCGACTTTATGGGAGTTTCTCGGACGACACGCAAAAAGTTCAGTAAATTTATGAAATGTATGTGCAGTTCTGGTTTGGAGGATGTTAGGCATGTTTACGGCAGCCTCTCTTGTGATTTCCTGCGGTGGTCTTTGTATCTCGTGTTTCTTGCACCTTTTCACTTAGATTCTCTCTCTCGCATGCTTGCTCTGCCTGCCTAGGGGGTTGGTGGCTTTTCCAGTTTGAGGGGGGCTAGCACCCATAACCCACACGATGTGGAAGGGTTGACTGTATATTTATGAGCATCTGCACTGGATGGATAGAATGCAAAATACATCATACAGCCTTTTCTGTGTGTGTGTGTGTGTGTGTGTGAAATTAATGCCTGTTATTCATGTAAGGTGTGTTTTTTTACTACAGCAAAAATAACTCAAAAATGCTGTGTCCCTGGGGATAGTCATAAAAGACTGCTTTTATTAACTACACAAATGCACTGTGCTATATTTATTCTTACACACAGTAATGTGGACGAGACGGTATAGCACAGCATACTCCTTTAAGGGGCAGAAATATGTCACCTGCTAATCTTATGAGAGATGTTTTTTTCCTTACTGCTCAGATAAGTAGCTTTAAACATTATTTTCATTGCACTGTCCTGTGGAGTTCTGGTCCACTGCTCCCCTGAAAGGTCCTTCATCATTCCACACTCAGTGAATGTACATGAACATCCATCCATCCATCCATCCATCTTCCAAACACTCACTGGGGCACATCCACAGTGACAGTATGCTTCAGGTTTGGCAGAATATTTCTGCTGGCTTGATGTCTGGAAGTTTCACCGAACTTTAGTTATTTGTTCTGGTAGATTTATTGAAATGATCTCTGTTGTGCAGACATAGAATACCAATGCCAGAGGCCCCTGGGATACTTCAGTACAAGGGAGGAGTTCCACAAGAGCGAAAGTTGTTGACCAGTGGGGCCCTTTTAATTCTAGGTTATATGTGGTCTGTGATGGGTTTTCACTGACCTGAGTTAATCCCTGCTGTGCGACCCTGCACAGGACAAGGGGGTATATAAGCTGTATGGATGGATTATATGCATGAATTATATATTGGAAGCAGACTCTGTGTTCACCTCGGTATGTTTTTTTCTGTGATTTCTTTAAGTACATTAATTGCAAAGGGAAACTGACATGAGTGGGGGGTCCAGGCTGCTCTGAAGCTCTGCTTCATCATTAAGGACATGAGTGGTGGGGGGGTCCGGGCTGCTCTGAAGCTCTGCTTCAGCTGACATGACCCCCAGCTTTAAGGTGTCTTCAGCCTGCCATTTTATTACCATGAACAGCTGGGATGTAGCAGGGATTTCTCTGCTGTGTGTGAAATCCATCCATCCATCTTCCATGGCCGTTTATCCCATACAGGGTCGTGGAAAGCCAGGACCCTGTCCCAGGAAATGCAGGGTAGAGGGCGGGGGACACATTGCAGAGCATCCATGAAATCCAAATAAATAAGGATATGCTTAAAAGGCTTCATTTTTGCTTTTCATTTTGTTGGGCACTGAAGGGCAGTGTTTGCCCCACTCATCACCCAGGGAGCGTCTCTGCGTATCTATTTGAGACCTCAGCATCCTCCTCTTCCTCCTGCAGGACTTTTCCGAGGACCGTGAGACTCCGCCCATGGTTTCCATCAATGGGCCGGGTGACGACAAGCTGTTCCGCAGCAAAAGCGCAGACATGGAGCTGAGCGCCGAGAAGGAGCGCATCAGGAAGATGCTGTCTGAGGGGTACGCCCCCGCCACGTGGCCACCCAGCAGATCACCCACCCTCTCCAACCCTGCAACCCCCATCCCACTCAACAGTTATCACTGCCTCTGCCCCCCTTCACCCTCACCACTCCAACACCATCTCCACCTCCATAACAACCCCATCATCGTCTCCTCTCATCACCATCACTCCTCCATCGCCACCCCCATCTCCGTCACCACCCCATCACTATCGTCTCCCCTATTGTCTCCACCTCTTATCACCGGCACTCCCCCATCACCATCTCCACCCTCTATCCAGCACCTCCCATCTCAGTCTCCACCCCCAACACTGTCGTCACCCTCCATCACCATCTCCATCCCCCATCAAGATTTAGAGATTAAATGTGAAACATGATGAGAACTGTGTGGGAAAGTTACTCAGAGTGTCTGGTAGCAAATGCTACTTCGTGGAAGTACAGCATAGTATCATTTTTGTAAGATCAAGGGGCACCTTCTCCACCCTAGCTAGCATATCGCTGGCCCTTTCTAATGTCTGGGTAATTAGACATAAAGCACACTCTCCTTTTTTCATTGTTTTCATGGGTTTTATCTCATGCCCTAATCACTGATTTATTTACATCAATTTTCACTATGTTTAAAATGGTATTTCCTGGCTACCAGGGAGGCTTCCATCTTGCCTGATGTTTGCTGTATTTCTCCTACCACCGCGGGGCCCTAAGTGGGCCGACAAAACCAAGCAGCTGGAAAGTGACAGTCTGCTTTTAATCCGCTGAGTCACCCGTACTGTACGCTGAAGCGTCTGTGTGACTCGTCTGTCTCGTCGATGATGCAGCTCTCCACACACAGTTTCTCCACCCCCTCTTGTCTGTTAAAGGTTATTTTAATTCTTTCTTTTCAATGAAAGCTGTCCTGTATTATGGCTCAAAATACTTTTAGAATCCAGTTGCTATGGTGCACTATTGTGTCAGGTTTCTCAGTTCCTCAGCCTCCAACACTTGACAACCCAGATCAGTGTAACAGTTAAGAGCTAGTCCACGCACCATTACACATGCAGTACTGAGACTGACATGGGACAGAAGCCAGGTTTGAGGACCTGGGTCATGGCTCAGGGACAGTGTGCCTAACATGGTGGCGGGTTTCTCGATGGAGTACAGATGTTATTACAGAAACCCTATATGCAGTTCCAGAAGCCGTGTATCTGTAGTACACACAACTGTAAAATGCCCACCTGGATAAATGGCTAAAAACATAAGAAGCTAAATAATAAACAATATGAACCACACATGACTTTCACAGCCCAGTGCCTGCAAAGTCATTCGTTTATGGCTGCACCAATCAATAAAAAGTTATTTCAGAGCTGAAGAGACCCTGTTTTATGTTTGTATGTGATTAGCTCCCCCAGACCCTGTGCTGGATTAGCCACCAGAAGGCAGCTCGCTGGATGTGACTCCTGATTCTAGGCCTTTGCAGCTCCCTGGGCTGCCTTAGTGCCCATTCCTCTAGTGGAGTGTATCTCCTTCTTGATGCTATCCAGGTCTGTTTGCGAGATGAACCTGGAGGCAGAGCTCTTCACCCTGCAAGACAGCAACGCCAAGCTGGTGGCTGCTCTGCACGAGGCCAACACCAATGTGGAGCAGTGGAAGAAGCAGCTGGCTGCCTACCAGGCAGAAACGGAGAGGCTTCGCGACCTGGTGAGGAGCGTCCTGGGCCCTGGTACAGGGCGGCCGCCTGCTGGGGTCACAGTCCTTGAAGGCCTCACATAGCCCAGCATAAAGCTTTGTGTGAAGTTTAATGCTTCTCGTGCTGCTTTTGCTTTACTCCTCCATCCGTGCGGCACAGAGGTGCTGTGAACCATATCCCATGCAAATTCCACACACAAACACAGACCCAACAACCATACAGGTCTGAGGCAGCAGATATTCCCACTGAACCAGCTTTTACATCATGCAATTTTGGGTGCCCTTTCACCTGATTTTGTGTAGTTTATAGGCAGTGCCTTCGTCGTTTTAGATTTGCTTCTGTCGACTTCCAAAGCTGACAGCCCGAAGTTGTTTTTTGTTAAGACCGTTTTAGTACAAGTATCTTACAGTATTTTTAAATGTGTAAAATATTATGCAAAGGTATGCTGTCTTCGGAAAGTCCTGAGTGCACCCCATCTTATTTGAGTCCCGCTTTTGCAGCAGGGTTGACCAGGTGGTTAGAAGTAGTTCACGTCCCGGGGGGGGGCAGCATGAAGGGAGGGGTTTTTAGGACACTGATATCCTACTTCCACTGTCCCAGTTAGGAGACATGAAAAATTACCACAGGGAGCTGGCAACGGATCGTTTACATTTTTTTTTCTCTCCACCCAGTTAAAAATAAGTCTGTTTCTCTCAAGATTTCTGAAACCCTTTTGGGTTGGTTGTTTTTAAATTTATTTTTGGGGAGACTGTGACATTGCAGGACAGTCCACCATCTCCGCCACTTTGCCATGTGGTCTCGCCTCCCGACCTGTACTGAGCATCGTGCCTTTTGTGAATGGTGTTAACCAGGCCTGGAAATCCAGCTTGTTCACTCGCCGGAGGCCAGGAATTCAGATGAAGAGCAAGTGCAAAAAATTCCATGTCGAACTACATTTTTACAGAACTAGCCCAGTTGGCTAGTAGCAAAAATGCTTCCATTTCAGCCCTGGTGATAACGATATGGAAGTTTATGAAGCCCATAGATATGACACTTTTACTTTCTTATAAAGGGGAAACGTATTTCTACTCTGAAAATAAAAGCATGCACTCTCCAGTGTCGGATAAGCGGAAGTTAATGGATGGATGGATGCACTCTCCAGTGTGACAGAGATGACGTGGACTTTACCAGCCTGCCTTGTGCTACGACCTTGGTGTGAGCCGAGTGCTGCTAGCTGACTCTATCTGGGAGTTCCGTTGCCATGGAGCATGGGGGGGAGGATGGTCATGGTTCCTCGACTTGGTGACCTGTCAGGGGCTCAGCGGTACTTTGTGTGTGTGTGTGTGTGTGTGGGGGGGGGGGGTTGGCTATCGATCTGGCGGAGAGGAGGTGTCCTGAACGTCGTTCGCTGAAGACCGCAGATTACCAGTGGCTACATGGTGGAGTGAAGGTGAAGGCAGTGGGAGGGGCTGAGCGCGAGGTCAGTGAAGAGCAGGGTCAGAGTCCGGGACCTTCCTGTCCCATTTGGACAGTGAGCTGTCAGCTTCCTTTCTGACAGGTGTCGGAGCTGGAGGCTCAGGGCGGACAGCCGCCCCCCAGCGACATGATAAAGGAGGAGCTGACCCAGTCCCTGGTGGAGCTGGAAGCCCTGCTCAAAGAAAAAGACGAGGTGAGGACACAAGGTGACACGGCGGCCTGCCCGGGTGATGGATCCGAGGAGCACCTGCCATATTACAGCAACTTCTCTGCAGTGCGATTATTGACTAGGCAGGAGTTTAAAGCGGCTGGTGTTGAACAGCTCATTCATTATCTGGAATCCTGAGGTGAGAAATGTTTTGAATCTAATCTTTAATTAAAACTGGGAGCCATAACATGGAATCACTGCGACTGGAGGCTTCCAGGATGTTTTGGATCAGTTTCCTCCTGAGTTAAGTGCACATTTCGGCGGCTCTGTAAACATTGATGTCACACACTCATTCACTGGTGGTTTTTTCTTTGTTTTCTGAAAATATAGGAGAATCTGCAATGCAGTATACAGCAGAAACTGATTCACGTCACTAATAATAGAAACAACTATACAAACAATGCCATTTTTATAACTATAATAATGCTTCGAACATGCAATAATAGCCTTACTCACATTTATACCATTATGATAAATTAACCCTATATGCTAACTCTATACCCCAAACCATAACCTTATACACTAACCCTGTACCTAACCCTATATGCTAAGCCTGTGTCCTAATCCTATACACTAACCCTGTACTCTAACCCTATACACTAGCCCTATATGCCAACCATATTCATTAACCCTATACGCTAACCCTGTGTCCTAATCCTATACACTAACCCTGTGTCCTAATCCTATACACTAACCCTGTGTCCTAATCCTATACACTAACCCTGTGTCTTAATCCTATACGCTAACCCTGTACCCTAATCCTATACACTAACCCTGTACCCTAACCCGATACACTAACCCTGTACCCTAACCCGATACACTAACCCTGAACCCTAACCCTATACGCTAACCCTGTGTCCTAACCCTATTGAGGTGTTCCAGCTGTGACTCACAACACAGAAGAAGCAGCAGCAACATACTTCGTTTTTGTGTAGTTTTTTGTTAAATATGCCTGAGACGTATTGTGCAGTCAGATGTGATAATCAGAGCGGTGATAAACCTAGTCTGACATTTCATAGATTTCCAGCAGACCCAGAAAGATACAGTAGGTGGATTGCGGTTTTCAGACGGGAGAATCGGCAGCCCGCTGAATGCACGCCTTTGTGCATTATTTATAAGTATGATTTATTAAAATTTGATTTCAGTTTGCAATCCATTCAATTTGTCTCCTTTTTCCATGTACTGTACCTGTTTAATGGCAATTTTAAGTAAAAATGGACATTGAAAGAAAAATAAAGAAACAATGACTTGAATTATATTGTGATAATTATCCATATCATTTTATATGACAAAAGCACATGTTGATGAATATGGATCATGTACACCGGCCTTGTTGAGTTTCTGTTGCTATCTGGTCTTGCCTGAAATATCGAACATATCTAAAAGACTAGATAAATGAAGATCAGCATTAACCACAGATGTGGCACTAATGCAGTTCGCCATGATCTCATCGCCCACTCTCATCAGCTGCACACCTGTCTTTCAGGAAATAAGCATTTTGCAAAGTAAGAAATCTGGCATTCATCAGCTGGAGAAGGAGCGCGATGAAGCCATCCACAGACTGCAGGTGAGTGCCTCCCACTGCAACCCTTCACTGCACCCCTCCACTGCACCCAGGGGTCTTTCTATGAATCGCTTTTCCCCGGATGACAGGACCACTTCATTCCAAGTGAGTAACATGCTTACTCCTGGGGCTTTAGCCATCTCCCAACCCCCACTGACAAAAATGGTATGTCCATCTCCCACCCCTGCCAAAAAAATGGTATGTCCATCTCCCACCCCTGCCAAAAAAATGGTATGTCCATCTCCCACCCCTGCCAAAAAAATGGTATGTCCATCTCCCACACCCCACCAACAAAAATTTTTTTAAACCGGATTTATCAAACCTGATGTACGGACGTTTCCTCTCAGAAGTCTGGGAACTAATCTTGTAAATGCATGTATGTATACAATCCTGAGATCCTGCTTAGTTACTGCCCACAAAAAACCATAAATGGTCAGTGCAAATGAGCCGCGTGCTCATATAATATGCAAATCAATCCTTTTTGCCTCAAAGTCTGATAACATGTACAGATGTACATTTTATAAAGATGTATTTATCACACACGTATATATCTTACAGCTGCTTCTAGTACTTTTGCACTTAGGTGTCACACCATTTCGTTGTCGGAGTCCCTGTACTTTGTGTCATGATAATAAAGCTGAATCTTAAAAAGCGCCTTGAATGGCGACACATCGCTGTTCCATCAGCACTGCAAAACGGCCCAAAAAGAAAACTGGTCGGATCCGAAAACAGACAGAAAGAAACGACTTTCTGCACGCAGTGCTAGCGTGAGTGTAACTGTCAGGGGCAAACCCACGTCTTCGCCGTCAAACTTTGACATGCGTACGATATCTGTCACAGGTGATGCCTCGTGTTGCTCCAGAGCAGTTGGGAGATGAAACTGAAAATTAAAGTTGACCCAGGCCATCAAGCTACTATGCTTGTCAATGTCATGTTGGCATCACAGATGACTTGCACATTAATAAATTGAAATGGCTTTCAGTTGACAAAGTAGCCTAATTAGCATTCGTTTCATCATCTGCATCTACTGCTATGTGTGGTGCTGTTGTGTATTTGATAAATAGATTTGATTTGAGGTGCCCTTATTGCAGTGTTAGTGCAGTCTATTGCCCTGGATATCACTGCAAATGTAGTTTTCACGTCTGCCTGTTCACCCACAGCATAGGCAGACATACATTTAATGCAAACAGACGCAGTACAAAGACATCACACAGTGCAAACAGTAAACAAATAAGTAAACATAATCTTGTTGGTCCATGAAAACTTTTCTTCTAATCTTTCTGTTTGTATAGTCACTAGCAAGAATGCCGTCATGCCACATTCACATGACTATAGAAGGGTGTGTCAGGTGGATCCATGTGTGCCACTGTCTGATGCCTAATTCACATTTAGCCCAACTAATGACAGATATTTCAGTTCATGGGAAGAGGTGACAAGATGTAGTATTTGAAACAGCAGATTAAATTCTCTCAGGCAAATGCATAGTCTTTGACCTACACAAATAAGTGGAATTCCAGTGGAATAAAATTAATTAAATTAATAAAACAATAATAAAGAGTAATTCAAATGCATCATAACTGAGATTCTTAGATTTACTTCTGAGGTCCCTGCCTCAGAATGCCTATTGCCTTTCTCCGATGTCTCCAAAATGTGTGTATACCTCTTCTCCTACGTTTCCGTAAAGTATGCTTCTCCCCCCATCAAATTCAGTTTGATGAATCTGGGATTTTACATTACATTTTGGGACTTTGGTAAAAGAGGCCCCAGGTCCTTAACCACTGGTTTGCTTCTGCTTTTGTGAAACCAAATCAAATGTATGTGATATATAGCATTGGCATTGACTTTTTTTGCCTAATATTTAAATATTGGAGGCAGGACAGGTTTTAAACTCAAATATTAAGTGCTGGGCTGCACTACATTGGTTAGGCTCTGCCCACCTACATATGAATGGTGGAGGGCATGTCGTGCTGAGTCATGTGTCTAAAACCACACAACGCAGTTGGACGGTGTAAATGAGTCACAAACCTCAGGCCTTCCCCTCTTCTGACATGTGATCATCCAGCACCTGGAGATGCGGAACTTGGAACTGGAACGGCGTGTGGAGAAGGCTGAGCAGGCACTGGCTACATCCCTGGGGGAGCAGGACCGGACTGAGCATGAGGTGCGGAGGGTCATCGACGTCCTCGATGTCAAGATCTTTGACCTGAATGATTTACGGCAGAGTCTGGCCAAGCTGATGGAAAAATAGTCTTCCATCCCGGGAATGCCAAGAAAGAAAGATGGAAGTTAAGGGCTGGTCCAGACTGACAATGCAAAAGCACAACAAACCTGCACAAGGAAGGAGAGAAGGATGGATGGAAGGATGAATGTAAGAAAGGCTCTACTCTGGATACACTGCACTCATCCAGGCCAAACTTGCCTGTGTGTGACAGCATCTAAGTGGGACCTTAACATCGTTTCAGTCGAAAATGGGATATTTTCTCATCCGTTTATCTTTCGTGTTACTATGGCTTCACAGGGCTGGATATTAATGGGCCGTGTATCTTATTAAACCTATCAGTATTAACACCAGAGAATAAAGTCAAACATTTATCCAAGTTTAGAGTTCATCAGTGATTGCACTTAATACACAATTGCTAATCATATTATTAGAATAAAAGTATTATCATTATTATTGAAAGAATTTTGGCCAGTGCACAGAGACAATTATGATTATGATTATGGTTCCCTGAATTGGTGGGAATAAAATGAATGTATGTTGTACAATCCTGGTTTAATTCTAATCTGATATCTGCCATTAGTCAGGGGAAGGTTTGTTCAGGAGGAAGACGCTGTCAGTCTGCCAGAGCATGGATAACACATCCAGCGAGCTTTTCGATAACACCAGTCTCTCACACGGCCCGTGCACATCCCTTTCTAAGATGACTAATAACAAATACTTTCATTAGAAATTAGGTAATTTGTTTCAGTGATTTTATATACTTAGTCACCATGGTAAACTAAATACAGTCAGGTTACCATGTCAATGTTTTTTTTTAACTGTGATGATTGACACTATTTTTATTGTAAGGGAACCTACACAAGTGTAACATGCATGAATGAGGTATCAATTATTGAAGTCAAAAGATCAAATTGCTTGTTGCTTTGTTATAATACTGGGTCCTAATTATTAGTATTATATTGTATGTGGTGAGTGAGATAAGATTTGTTTTATGTTTAATTTAGAAGGACATGTTTCTCTTAGTTTTTAAAATACTCTAAAGGTTTCATTTACATTTTCTGTTTACAATTCACTTAATTTGTCACACATTACCTGAAACTGAAATAAATTGCTTGTTTACAATTAATAACAAAGGTACGTCTTTAAACACTTTCACAAAGCACTCTTGCAATGCCACAAATTAAATCTCAGCATCAGACAGTTATACTAAAGGGCAAACAGACAATAAACGCAATGCTTTCTGCTACTGTATATGTTATTGATATGCCATTATTACAAACTGTACTTCCATGTATTTCTGTGAGAGAATCCACACATCTGGCTATGTATGACTTTAATGGAAATTTTCATGGTAAGACTCATGCTCGCATTTAGAATAAATGTGTTTTAGTGCTACTGACACTAATGCGGTCAAACAGGTGAAAACCCTGAAACGAACCTCTCAGAGTAACTGCAGGTGTGTGAATCACTGATCTGGGAATTCAGACATACCAAAGACTAGAGTTCACGTTTGCTGTAGGTATGTTTCCGATTCACCTTTCAATAGGAGTAAATTCTTATCACGCAATGGAAAAAAATACATTTATTGCATAGGATAATTTTTAGATAATTAGGTAATTTGCAGGAGAAAGCTGGTGGAAACCAAGGAATTTGGTAACTGTATATGTCAGCTTTATTTATGGAAACGCACGTACCCACCACAGCATGGAGTGCTAGGCATCATTGGCTCTTGTGATTCGTCTGAGATTTGAACATGGTGGTAGTTTGAGTACTGAGAGTGTCTGTGGAGTAATGCTGACTTGGTGAATGTGTTTCTTATTTGTAGGTCTCAGGTGTCTTAAAAGTACTTGTTGTACGACATATAGGCAATTCACTTTGGCACATGTATATTTTGAACATTAAAGCAGACAGATGAGTTTGGAAGGTAGATCCCAGTTAAAGTGAAGCAAACGCAGTTTGTGCCACTTAAGTGAAAATCCAAGGACATGTGGACCTTACAGGTCCCATATGTACTGACTAATTACACATGAAGTATGAAGCGATCCCTTTCAATCACCTTTCTGTTTGAAGGTTTTCACAGCTAAAGAAATTTGTGTAGTAGTTTAAGATGTATGATTTAGATTAATCAAGTTTCTTGCTAGTAAACTGTTCTGCCAGATAGTTCAGGTTAATGCATCTTCTGCTGAAATAGTAATTAGTTACTTTTGCAGTTATGCTTCATCAAGCTGCCGAAATGTATGAATATGCAAACCTTTAGCTAGATAGCTCTGAATATGCGTGTGGTAGCTTGTTTGGTGTTCTCTCCACAGGTAGCAGCAATTAGAAATTGATAAATGACATTATATACTAAGGTGTTATGACAGAGACAGTACAGTGTGTCCACATGGAATGCTACTCAAAATTTTAATTTGTCTGGAAGTATTTTTATTGAATATGGTCCCATAATAGAAGTAGCTTGCCAATGTTGGAAGTGTGTTCATGTTCTGTAAAGGTCAGTAGGCCTATGCATGCTGTTGCATCGTGTCCTCTCTATGCAGTCTGCAAATCATATTTATATTCACCCAGTTGGACTTTGTGTGATTTATACTTTTTGGTCCTAATGAATAAATACTGTATTGTCCAGGGACATGAACTTTATCATGTTTCCACTATTTTTTGTTAGTAAGAACTATGTTATATAAATAGAAACACTTTTGTAAAAAGTGATTGCTGATCCATGATGTGTACGAGACTTGTGAGGTGTCTGACGAGTAGCTGCAGAAAGCGTCTTGTTTTTGTTGCATTATGAACAATAGCATGATGTGAGGTGAGTCTCTCTCTCGTACTTTCATTTTTTTTTTTTTAGGATGCCCAGATATTTTTTGCAGTGCAGCTCTGGGGAACAGAAAATGGAATAATATTAATTCCCACCATATTAACATCTGGCAATTATCCAAGTGTAAAAAAAGAACTGGGAACTATAAACGGTCCCTTTTCCTATTAAAATAACAAAATGTGAAAGGTGTGTTTATTGCTTCTGTTTTAAGCCATCAGCCGGTAACATTAGGTCTTGCAATCAGAGTGCAGCTGCACGTCGGCTTAGTGAGCAGAGGCGCCATCTCAGTACCCCAAGGTCATGTCTGTTCCAAGCTCTTCCTCCACATTTTAGTGGCACTAAAGGAGATGAGTGACAAACACTCACATGGGCACATGGACAGCCTACAACAGACTAACATGCCCGCACTCTCTGGTTTTGCTGTTCTGCAAAGGGCCCCAGCAAACTAACACTAAAAGCACACACGTACCTCCCATTCCTTCACCTCCAACAATGTCTTTTTTAAAGCAGGACAACTAGGAGACACTGAACTATAATTTCACTTCAGTTGCTATTCTTTCTGGATCAGCGGTTCCCTGTGTAATTGAAAAAGCTGAACTAGTGAGTGAATTACATTTGCACTTTTATGAACTAACAAACTATTTGCAAGGCTTATGTGACTTGGGATTCACTGCTCAAATGTTCAGAACGGCCCAGATTCAGCACCCACTAACCTACTGGTGATGTAAGGTGAAATGCATTAGACCAGTTTTGCACTGGCAAAAGTACACTCAAAACAAGTCACCTGTCTATTTAGTTTTATCAATAAGTACAATGCTTCAGGATTAGGATTACACCACTCGGAAGAGAGTCTATATCCTTAGCAGGTTTTAACTAAATGGCAATTGTGCTTAACTCAGGTCTTTTGCAGCTTAGTGCGACATTCTAATTGTCGGACAGCAGATTGCCGACCGTTTCATCATAGTAAATTCCTTTCACCGGCTGCCTGACACAATGACCTTGATCTGTGTACCGCAATTGCCCTCCAAGGCTACAAGTTCCATAAAGCTTTGCTGCCACCTGCTGGAATGAGAGATCTTGCAGGAAGCAAGGCCCGAGTCTAAGTCAGTGTCCAGACGATAGCCATGTTTATCATTGTCACACTAATATTTAAACAAAGTTGAGAAACTCAAGATGTTATTTCAAATTTTTTTTATTTACCAACTAGTGAACAAATGCAGAGCAGCAAGGTCACTGTCTACTTGAGCTTCTTCTTGGGACGCAGGTTGTTGGTGTGCCCACACTTCTTCTTACGGCAGTTGACAGCGCGGGGATGAAGACGCGCGTAACACCTGTGACAGATGGAGACGCAGATCCTGCTCAGCAGCCACACGGGCTCCTGCTCTCCTAGGAGCCCTCAGCATGTATGACACTATCCAACAGACTCAACACTTACTTGCGGCAAATCATTTTGTCGCAGTTGTACTTCTGGGCCAGCTGCCTAAGGGAAGGCTCGATGATGCCTCCACGCAGACGCAGCACCAGGTGAAGAGTGGACTCTGCAGGGAAAATCGTGTTAAAGAAGGTGGATGGCACATTATGCAACCTTGATTGTCCACACCAAGACTTAAAGCCACACAGGGAAGTTTCGATATCTTACCTTTCTGAATATTGTAGTCTGAAAGAGTGCGTCCATCTTCCAGCTGTTTTCCGGCAAAGATCAAACGCTGCTGATCAGGTGGGATGCCTACAAGACATTGATTTTACTGGAGGGTGTGGAAGGGAATGACCCACCAGCCTTAAAATTGAAAGACAGCATAGCACCGTGTATAACGCAGTAATCTAGTTACCTTCCTTGTCCTGAATTTTTGCCTTGACATTTTCAATAGTATCGCTTGGCTCCACCTCAAGGGTGATGGTTTTCCCAGTTAACGTTTTCACAAAGATCTGCATCTTTGCAGGCTGTTAACACACAAGTCCCGGTTAAATAGACAAGTTTACGCAACCAGCGAGATTAAAGCAAAAAGAAATGAAAAGAGCCGATACATTTCAACGTTAATGTGACGTAACGCCAAGACCACGCTGTGCCCATCGTTCGTCTGCTAAGTGCTATTAATCAAGCTGGCAAAACAGCATCATCTCTGAGTAACTATATTTTTAATGTCTGTTGTTAAACACTCATCTGTCGTCGAGCAAATCGACAGATCTATCCAGTACAGCACTGCCACATGGCTCAGGGAAGACCGTAAAAGGCTAATTAGCTAGCTAGATAGCTATACGGCGAGGCCTAACCCAAGCGCATATAGTACATTTTAAATTACATTTATTTAGCCTATAAACGAACACCCCTGCATTTAAACCATAATACAGCGCAATACAATTTTAGACCGTTATTCTGGCACCATCGATAGTTTTTAACAGACGTTTCCACAAAGTTCAGAGACACGATCCGACACACACCTTGCCAATAGCCGAGCCGGAGCGAAAAGAGGCTGACGGAGAAGGAAGTCCGACGTTTACGTCACTTCCTGTTAACGGGGCCGCCACAGTGATGTCGGGTCAGTGCCTTTAGTCCACGGAGGACTTGGCGAGAAGTATTACCTTGCGGTTGGTTTTCTACAGTGTTTTTATTAGCGCAAAATGTATGAATTATAATAGCAAAAGTACACTCTTAGCTGGAGACTGTGGTACCATCAATGACCTTTTCTTCAATTATCTTTCATTTTTGAGGTACCACTTTTTGGAATATGAAGTGTTGAATGAATCGTTTTTTTATCCATATAAATGCGATGCGTTGGCGCCCCGTCATCGGTTATTCTACCCTTGTTCCCTGCATATGATCCATATATCAAATTTCCACTTATAGGGGTACGGTGAACTTAAAGAGATATCAGGCATGGGAAATCACTGACTAATATGGAATATATTTATGCTTAAGACATGAAATATTCAATACATTCTTTCTAACGATGGAATATTGGTAGAGATTTACATTTGTTCAAATTACTGTCTTCCTCCTATAGCATTTTTTCTATTACTGTTTATTGAGGGGTCTTACTAAGCAATAATACAATAGGGGTATACATATACATAAACGCCATTGCTAGGACATCAGATTGAGTGATGGGGGGACTGACATATGGGGATGTAATTTTTATATGTGAGAAGACTATGTTGAGGCTGACGTGTCTCTTTTGCATTCCTGAACTTCTCTGCGTTCAGATTAGCATTAGCCACATTGTTGCCTGTAAGTGGCAACACTTTACCACGACGCATAAAGATTTCACATCCAAGCTTCCATCCCCAAATTGCATCACGTATGACAAGCCGTTTTAACATTTAATCGTCATACTTCTATCCGTAATTACATTTTAGATATTCACAATAGCTTTTCTCCTAGTCAAAATTGTATTCTTACTAGTCAAAAAGATCATTTCAGATATCCACAATTATATTTCAGATATCCAGAAAGTTCATTCTGGATATCTGCAATTAATTTCTTACTAGGGAAAACTCCCATTTCAGATATCTACAATCCAGTTGTTCCTAGTCAAGATCAGTATCGCACCACAAGGTGGCGATATAACACGAGTAAATTTCGAGTCAGGAGTAATCGGGTCCCCATTCCTTTCCTGCAGTGTTTACATCTTTCTGCGACAGAAAGAAAACAGACGTATTGCTCAACGATTTATCTAAATTGTCGATAAAACATGTACAAGACAGGGGAAACGTGTTGAGGAAATGTTAATGTAATTTAATGGTGTTCTCCACACATGTTTTGACGTTAGATCAGTATTATGAATTAAGTTTCATTCATGTTATATCGGGGGAGATACTAAATATTTGAATATGCTTTTCTTTTTCAGAGCCCCCCGCATTATTTATTCATCCATTCCCTCTTCGCATGTTTTCTCGGCTCTTCATTCTTTTTCCTTTCACAACGAGTGCTTTCTGGAGTCGCAGAGGAGCAAACACGGGCTCTCCTGGGTGCAGCAGCACGGCACCGCACCAGGACGTGCAAGGTCAGCTTGTTTTCACAAGAGAACCTGTAACCATCAATCACCGGGCCGGGCCGAACTGGGCTGGGCTGGGCTGGGCCAAAGCGGGCCGGCCGCGATCACCCTCCACACCCAGCCGAGATGTTTATTAGCAGAAAGCCTTGGCTGGCGCCTTACATAATTAGCTGGAAGCCCCGCCTCCTGCCCTCCGTCACCACGTTAAAGGTCCGGGCACCAGCCGCTCCGCACTTTTGTTTTCTCCAATTGTCCTACGTTAGAGTCGGAGAGTTCGGCGAACTTGACTAGAATAAAGGCACTGGCCAGGACGGAGCATCGATTTCCAGTTTAGACATGATTTTGGATTTTGGAGTGCGGAACTTGCGCGTCGTCTTCGACTCCCCGGAGCTGAATTCGCCTCCCGTATACAGCAGCGGGGATGTGGTTTCGGGGAAGGTGCTGCTGGAGCTCACCGGGGAGACCAAGGTGCATTCTCTGAAGCTGCACGCCGAGGGCTTCGCCAGGGTGCACTGGACCGAGTCCCGCAGTGCCGGGGCCAGCAGTGCTTATACCCAGAACTACAGCGACGAGGTGGAGTACCTGAACCACCGGGAGGTGCTTCTGCAGGCAGGTGAGTGCGCGGCAGGCAGCATGCTGGGGGTGTCCTAGGGCACCCCAACGTGGTGCCCATGTTGGGAAAGATCGTACCAGCATCTTAAGGGCACAGCCATTTAGCGATGAGCTCTTGTGGTTATACGAGAAATCAAGAGCCTGAAGTTAAGTGTCATGAAGGTTTTTTTTTTTTTTTTTTTTTTAACTTTCGCTTTCTTTATATGTGGTACAGTAGTGCTACTCCGTATCAGAAGACGTTTGTTTTCCTACATTTAAAAAAGTGACGTTTGTCATGTCTTGGCAAAATAAGTTTTAAGTTTGCGCTTGGCGATCGCGCTGCGCTTGCACTTAATTTTGACAGGTTTACATGGCTGCGACATCGCTGACATGTTGTTCGTATCAGTCGGCGCTTAGGAATCGTAAGCGTTGCTTTGTCGGTAGTCAGTGTAACTTGCGCTTGACGTTAATAGCGGGAAAAACGATCATTTAGGAATTATTTGGTTAAACGAGGCACTTCAGATACTTATGAGTGTTTCAACACTACAATAGGGTAGTTACTGTATTCTGCAGTGGAAGTCTACATTTAATGCATCATAACTTGTTTTAGATCTGTTAAGTTTGTAATTCTCTAAGTTATTTTGTAATATATATATATATATATTTTTTTTTTAGATAATGGAGATGTAACGGTGTTGCAGTCCGGCAAACACGAATTCCCGTTCAGTTTCCAGCTGCCTGAAGAGTAAGTGCATCACCTTTATGTGTGTATGATTTACGTTGAACGTCTCTTCCCATGATGCACTGCACTTAACTGTCACTGTCCATTGAGTGGTACAAGTGAATAACCATCATTATTTCTTCTGTTAACAGGACACTGGTGACCTCGTTCGAAGGCAAGTATGGCAGCATTCGCTACTGGGTGAAGGTGAAGTTGCATCGACCCTGGGCCACTGTAAGAAAGGTTAAGAAGGAGTTCACTGTTATAGAGCCTATTGACATCAACACTCCAGCCTTACTGGTGAGCGACTGGGCTTGTTGCCTTTATTGGCCTTGTGTCTTGGTTTTGTGACAGAGGTGTCACTGCCTGTTGTCTCACCCTCCCTCTCCCAGGCCCCCCAGGCAGGGACCAAAGACAAGATGGCACGCGTGTGGTACCGCAACTGTGGCCAGGTGTCTGTGACAGCTAAGATCGACCGCAAAGGCTACACCCCTGGTGAGCAGCCTCCCAGTCCTCCCAGTCCTTTTCCCCTACCCTGCTCTGCCAGCCCAGGGCATTTGGTGGTGTTCTCTAACCCGGCCTGCCTCCCTGTCCACAGGCGAGGTGATCCCGGTCTTTGCGGAGTTTGACAACGGCTCATCCCGCTGCGTGGAGCCCAAGGCGTTCATCACCCAGACGCAGACCTTCATCGCCCGGGGCACCATGAAGCAGAAGCACTCTGTGGTCGTCACGCTGAGGGGTGACAGGGTGGGTCCCCGCTGCAGGGAGACCTGGCATGGGCGGGCCATCAAGATCCCTCCCGTGGGTCCCTCTGTCCTGCAGTGCCGCATAATTAAAGTGGCATACACGCTCAAGGTTAGCCCGTAGCTCGTGCCCTGTGCCCTCTGCTCAATTTGCCCGGTGAGCCGTGCTGGCTGTTTCCTGCACCAAGGCCTAACCGGGGACATTCTGCTTCCTGCCAGGTGTGTGTGAATGTCCCCGGGACATCCAAGCTGTGCCTCGACCTGCCGCTGGTCATGGGCACCATCCCGCTGCACCCCTTCGGCAGCCGCACCTCCAGCGTCAGCAGCCAGTGCAGCCTGAACCTGGAGTGGCTCCGCATGGGCATCCCCGAGCAGCCCGAGCGTGAGTGTCCTGCTCTGACGGGGGGGGGGGGGGGGGCAGCAGGGCCTTCCTCTGTCATCATGTCACTTATGTTTCCCTCCCCCTTCTGCATTCACTGGTGCCACCTACAGCTCCCCCAGATTACAGCGCCATTGTTTCCGATGAGGAGGCAGAGCAGAATATGGCCCCCCCATCAGCCGAGGACGACTTCACCGGGGTCCTGCAGCGCCCCTACTTTGCTTACATTCAGGAGTTTCGCTTCCGGCCTCCCCCAGTCTATAGCGAGGTGAGAAACCGCCGAGCAGGTATTGGGGCCCAAGGTCAGTTAGGGTGTCCTGACATGCATCAGAGGGCTGTCGGATCCGGGACCTTGCCTGCTTATCCTGGGGAAGTTAATAACTCACACTGCAGACTGTTAGTAAATGTTCAAACCTGACTTGTAAAGGGGGTTTATTGTGTGACCGTGCCGCAAGTAGCTTTAGCTAAACGTTGAATCTTGAGGGACTGCAGTGCTTTGGGCATCTAAGCTGTCTTTCTGCTTCTCTCCAGCATCGTGATACTAAGTGTTTTCAAACACTTTCATCCCCCAGGTGGATCCAAACCCTCAGTTTTCCAGCATCCGCCGCCGCTGCATGACGTGCTGAAGCAGCTCTGTCCGCCACTGTGGGATGTGATGGTCTGTTAGCAGTTTGAGACCCATTTTCTCTGGGACTCTCCTCCGAGACTGAAGCAGAGTCCCAGGATGGGATGAGTGTGCTATGGTGAGCACAAAGCCGGCGTGGGGACGTCCTCAGGAGATGGGACATCAAATACATGCCGGTCCCCTAGTCTTTGTCCCCAGCTCAGCTTCCGCCGTAGTCCTCAGGGTCGGCACATCGTTCCAGCCGATGACTACTGAGACTTGGTGGCATGTCTGTACATTTTGGGGACTTGATAAAGAAGCCCTCATGTATGCTTTGGAAGATATGGAGGTGGAGGACAGACCCTGTAAACATCTGCAGCTGAGCTGTTCAGCTATTTTGCCCAACACATGGGGTTGAGTCTGAATGGTGCTCTGTGAAGCCGTCCTCCCGGCCTGCAAATGTATATGTGCAAAACTGCATTTTTTTTTATGTGGAAATGCATAGATCTGTTGCCTTCAGATAATCTTCAAAATGAAGGGCTGCCTGCCTGCCTTATTGACATGAATGGCAAATGGTTCATTTCATGATGGGTGTCAGGAAGGGCAAGTGTGGACAGCGGCATGCAGGGTGCGTAGCTGCTTGAGTACAGGATGCCTGTGGGTGTGTCCGTTTGTAAACGCTACAGGAGCAGAGGCTGATGGAAACTGTGTAGGTGTTCAAAGGTCGCAGGAAGAAAGTGTGTGAAAGCAGAACTTGGACAATCATTAGAACGGCTGAACCATGGGACTGAACAAAAAACAAGCCAAAGAGTCGCGTTAAGTTGCTGTTGGTGCTTCCCTGGTGCCGTCAGGCAACTCATGCACGCAAAAAGCATATTGGTGCAGGGATACAAACCACACGCTTTGTGCATTCGATCAAATCCAGCTGCCTTTTGTCATGCGGGAGTACTGTGAACCTGCCGTTACTCAACGGCACTTGCAGCTTCAGGTTGGAGAGGCTGTTTCAAAGGAGTTCGGTATAGAACATTCCAGGAACGCTTAATTGTTTTTTCCATTCAAATGATGAAATGACACATCCCTTTTGTGGTGCATGGCATTCGTCATAAAAATGCATTAATAATAGAAAATTGCTTTTCAATTTTTACAAAAAATCCTTTTGTAATAAACTGATTCAAAGTTATATGCTGTTTTGTTTTTGTTTTTTTTTGTAAAGTCGAAAGGATGATGTAAAATGGCGAACTAGACACACAACTTGTTCTAAGAAGATTTCATGTCCTTGTTTTTGTTTCATAGTGGGTTGGTTCACTAGGGGTCAGTGCTCTGAAGGTAACACATTGGACACAGTGTGACCCCCTTAAATTTTACAGGTTATATAATTTACAAGCCATTCTACGACATGCATTAAGCACAATATTTAGCTGTATTTATTTATGCAGTACCAGGCAGGATCCCCTTTTGCCTCCAGAACCACTTCAAGGACAGATGCGTTTTGTGTACAGAGGAGTTGTGCTCTATCTGATAGCTTTAGCGGGTCTGCCCGCTCTCCTGACCTCTCATTAACAAGCTGGAAAAGCTTAGACACTTACAGTAATAGTGTGTGAACATCCCAAAAGGAGGCTGTTTGAGCGGCTGAAGCTTCCATGTTTGGCACCTTCAGTCACACCGCATTGAATATCTCTTGCATCACATGGCTCATGCTGTTCTCATGCTTAGCTAAAGACTATATGAACTTTCTGACCCTGGCTCTACATTTACATATACGGTGCTGAGCATTAAAACCTTTGATCCTATCTCAGTGACTATGAGGACAACTAGCTGTATTTTTACAAAACCTGTTTTATTAAACATGTATTTGTATCAACATATGAGTATGATCACCAAAATATAATACATTTTATTCAAATAAGGTGATGCAAAAATGATTACACCCCAATGAGTATCTTTGGAGAAAAACCTGATTGTAATTAACAGGAAATCACCAACAGATGAATCTAATCAATCATCACACAGGTGGCCACAGGATAATTGACTACTAAAAGTGGTAATTCAGAGAGAAAATCTAGTTCAACTCAATACTGGCAAAATGTAACCGCATGGAAAAGAAAGAAAATAATTTCTTTGCACAAAAGGTCAATGTTATAAGAAAATTAGCAAGGTATTGCTAATAAGTTTGAAGTCATCCAAAAATTCCAAAAGGATGGAGTTGTGAGAAGCTGGCAGAGATGTCCAGGACACCCATGGAAGAGCGTCAAGAGCGTTTTGTGATAAGAGAGCATGAAGGAATTCGGGATGCAAGTCAAACCGGGGTGAGTGCTTCCTGTGACACCATACGACGCACACTGCACAGGAGTGATAAGCATGGCTGTCATCCTCAAAGGATGCCACTGCTGAAGCCCATGCACGAAAAAGCCCGTCTAGAATCTGCCAGGGCCAATGTCAACAAAGGCAAACACTACTGGGACGGTACCAACAGTGAAGCATGGTGGCGGCAGTGTCTCTATGCGGGGCTGCACGGTACCAACAGTGAAGCGTGGCGGCGGCAGTGTCCCTATGCGGGGCTGCACGGTACCAACAGGGAAGCGTGGTGGCGGCAGTGTCCCTATGCGGGGCTGCACGGTACCAACAGTGAAGCGTGGCGGCGGCAGTGTTCTTGTGTGGGGCTGCATGAGTGCTGCAGGTGTCGGGGAGCTGCATTTCATAGGTGGTATCATGCATTCACAGAGGCACTGTGACACACCGAAAGAGAAAATGCTACCATCACTCTCTGCCCTAGGTCACAGAGCACTTATTCAACACGGCAATGATCCAAAACATACATCTAAGGCCACTGATTCATTTCTGAGGAAGAACAGGGTGAAGCATGTGACCAGACCTCAGCCCAAAAGAACATTTGTAGGCAGTTCTGAAAAGACAAGTTGCGTGTCATTCTCCATTCAGCTCTGAAAGAGCTCATCCTTCAAGAATGTGGACATATAGACCTGGCTGTATGTCATAAGCTAGTTCATTCAATGTCTAGAAGAGTTGCTGCTGTTCTTCTAAGTCAAGGAGGCCATACAAAATATTTAATCTAGTAGACTTTGTTTTAGGGTCACCTTGCATCACCTTATTTGAATGAAATGTATTGTTTTTCTTATCCCAAAGAAGCAAAAAAGGTAATGGTACTCTTATGTTGATACAAATAAATGTTTAATAAAACTGGTTTGTAAAAATACAGCTAATTGTCCTCATAAACTCTGAACAATGGTTAACAACAATGGTTTTAATCGCTCGTTTATGATGGGCACTGTACATATACATTTATGTATTTAGCAGGTGCCTTTATCCAAAGTGACATACAAGCAAGGCAGATGGCACATTTCAGGCATACAGCTGTCAAGGTGCCAAACAGGTGAAAGGGCAGCTGTGCTGGGCTTCCAGTGAATAATCAGTAAGAAGTGCAAGCAAGCAAGCAGTGGAGTAGAGACCTGCGCGGGACGGATTTTTCAGTCCCGCTCCTGCCCGCTCCCGCAAGATTCTGTCCCACTCCCGCCCGCTCCCGCAAAAAATATAGCCTATATTATTTTCTCCCGCTCCCGCCGGCAGTATTCAAGTTTTGTCCCGCTCCAGCCCACAGCAGGTAAACATATAAGTAGTTTTATTTTTACCGCTTCTTCCCGCTACTCTGTTATTTGTTTCACTTGCTTCCCTTTTGAGTATATATAAAAAAGAAACGGAAAATAAACAAATATGTTTCGTTTAATTTGAGTTTAATTAAATGGAATGATGAACATGGACACGAACGAGGAGCTTTTCAGAACAT